TGCTGGGCCTGCCTTCCCAAGGAGGCCTCAAGCCCGACTGCTTCCCAGTGGGGCAGCCGCTGCTCCAGCTGGTCTGGGCTCAGCCTTGCTCACACCTACCTGCCTTTGCTCAGGAAGTCCCTGTTCTCTGGGAGAGCCCTGGACTCCTTCCCACTTCTGCAGATTAGAAGCCATTTGTATAGGGACTAAGCGCACAGGCTTTGGACCTATATAGAGCCTATTCACTTTGCCCATCCACCCATCCATCCACCCATCCATCCACCCATCCATCCACCCATCCATCCACTCATCCATTTCTTTCACTACTCTGACCGTGCTGGGCATTGCCCTCACCCTGGGATGGAGGGAAGAAGGAGGAGGAGGTGGATAAGATCCTCCCACCACTGGTTTATGTGACAATGATAAAGGGGTAGACGCCAGGAAAAATATGGGAGAGGGTGGGGTGCGCCGTGCCTCTCTAAGGGCCTCTTGCTTGAACAGAACAAATCAAACACTCAAAGACTGGAGCCGGACCAGACTCAAAGGCCAGAGGGGGAGGGAGGTGGGTCGTGGAGGAGGGAGGGGGGCTGGCCTCGGAGGGCCGGGTGGTCTGGACTTCACTCTCCATATGGCTGCGGAGACCCCTCCTCTGTGGCCCATCTGCTATGTGCCATCATTTTGGGGCGGGACAGTTTGGGGCCAGCGGTGTTAAGCAAGGGCTCAGCCAGCAAGGAGCTGCCCAGGTGGGCAGAGAAGCTGGAGGAGTGGCCAGCCCGACTCCTGTTTTGTAGGTAGAACTGAGAGGGCCTGTTGGTGGCTTGGGTATAGGGGGGGTGGTGTGGTGTGTGTGTGTGTGGGGAGGGCCAGGGGAGGACACGAGAATCGAGGCTGACACAGAGGCTTGACTAAACAGCCAAGGGAAGACCTGGGTGACCTCATTTGAGCATAAAATGAAGAGCTTTGCTTGGGACGCGGCTGTTTGCCGACCAGTGGGAATGACCAAAGGGCCGGGTGGGGGTGGCTGGTGTGCAGGAGAAGACCTGGCTGGAAGGGAGGCCTGGGAGCTGTCCCGGGTGACTGAGGTTGAAGGCATGGGACCAGGCAGCGCTTGGGGGCCCCCTTGGGCATTTGGAGGGAGGCAGGGTAAGAGGGACAGAGAAGACAGCTGGGAGGGAGGCCTGCGAGGATGCTCGGAAGCGGCCGAGCCCTGGGAAGATGGGGCAAAAGCCTCTCCGGGTGCAGGGAGCAGTGGGCCGTCAGGTGCAGCCCAGAGCTCCAACCAGGAAGATAAGAGTGCCCACTGGTTTGGCAACGCGGAGGTTCCCGGGGACCTTGAAAAGAGCCGTTTTGTGGAAGCGCAGGGACAGGATCCCAGCTGGAGAGGAATCCGGGGAGAATGGGACACGCTCTTGAGTTTTACTATCAAAAGCCGAAAGAGCCCAGCTCACCGCCATCGAGTGGATGTTGAGTCACAGCGACCTACAGAACAGGGTAGGGCTGCCCCTGTGGGTTTCCGAGACCGTCACTGTGGGGGGGAGTAGAAAGCCTGCCTCTCTCCCGTGGAGCAGCTGGTGGTTTAGAACTGCTGACCTTGTGGTTAACAGCCCAATACATAACCCGCTATATCACCAAACCATAAAGCCAATGCCTCAGAGTCGATGCTGACTCACAGCAACCCTACAGGACAGGGCAGCACTGCCCCCATGGGTTTCCCAGACAGTAGCTGTTCCCGGGAGTAGAGAGCACCGTCTCTGTGCCACCCGGACTCCTTTTACTGTAAAGTTTAGCAGAAAATTAGAAGGGCAAATGGAGCCAAGGAATTCCTTCCTCTTTCCCCTTTTCCCCTCCCTCCCTTCTGATTCTCAGTCGCAGGATTGTGGCAAATTTGCATGGCCTTCACTTGCTGTGTGACCTTTGGGGCAAGCAGCTCCACTTTGGTGCCTTAGTTACCTCATCTGTCAACTGTAGATGACGACCCACAGGTTGCTAGACTAGTCCGGAATAGGTGCTCAGGAAAGGGGGCAAATGCTCTTGAGGAGGAGCTCTGTGAGGGAAGGACATGGGCACAGATGTCTGTCTTTGGAGGGCAATTCGGCAGTGAGCGTCTCAATTTACAATGCGTAAACCCTAGAGCCTAGCTGTGTTAGTCTGGGTACTTTAGAGAAACAAATCCACAGAAACTCATGTAAAAGAGAGAGTTTTATATAAAGGTTAAGTGTGCATCAAGAAAACATCCCAACCCAGTGCTGCCCAAACCCACAAGTCCAACATTAACCCATTAACCCTTATGTCCGACACCAATCCACAAAGTCCTCCTCACAAAGCAGACATGATGCCGACTGCAGGAGGAAAGCTGAATCAGTGAGCGTGTAAGCATCTCAGCGCTGGCAGGGGTCTCCACGTGGCTGCTCCAGCACCCAGGGCTGCATCGGGGTAGGTCCATGGGGCTTCTCCTTGGGGATGTCTTGCAGGAAGTGAGCCTTGCCAGCTGAAGCAGGGACCTGGCTAAGGCAGCTGCACCCTGGTCCGACCATCACAAAACAAGAGACCCGAGAACTAGAAAGGCGAGGCTCACCGAGCCATTTATCTCTCCGCCCTTCAATTAACCCCACAGGTGTTTATCAGCCAGGTTGGCACAATAAACTAACTACCTCACTAGCCTTTAGTTATGGACCCCAGAAACATATTTGCCCACATGCCCAAAGAGGTAGGGTACTTGGTTTTTGTTTTTCCCTCAACCATGTTTGCAAGAAAATAAAAAACAAAGTTGAAGCCCCTCAGCGCTCCTCTCTGGGGGTCTGGGTGGAGAGATGAGGAGGGCTTCACGGGGCGCCGTGGCACCCGGAAGGCCTGCCCTGTCGCTGGCCGCCTGGGCCCAGTGACTGAAGTTCTGCGTCTGTGGTGGTCACCAGGGTGAAAGCACACGGGGTGTGCTCAGGCAGGCTCCCGACCCCGACAGTGGGCCTTAACTTTCCGGTCTGCAAAGCCCGCACTGAGAACAGCACCCATCTGATGGGGCTGTCACAAAAATCAGATGGGTGCTTATGTGACGCTACAGAAGGGGGCTGGTGGCGCAGGCAGTTAAGCGCTCAGCGGCGAACTCAAAAGGCTGGGGGGTTTGAACCCACCCAGCGTTTTTGAGGGGGAGGGACCTGGCGAGGTGCTTCCACAGAGGTGATAGCTGTGTACCCCCCCCTGCTCCCCGACACACACCATGGGGTCGTGGGGTCCCCGCAGCCCAGCGTGTGGCACATAGTAAGTGTGCAGTGAGCCCTGGCAGGGACAACTTAGGGTTCTGCGTGGACAGGGAGAGGTCACCCATCGGCACTGAGACTGTGATCCCCCCACCATATACTTACATACACACACTGGTCACCTTTCTGCCCATGGACACAAGTGGGCAGTGCAAGTGTGATTCCCAAGGGAGGGTGGTCCTAATCTCTGGGGAGGGCACTGGACGCAGGAGTGGGTGTGTGGATGTCTCCATGTTCAGCAAAGAACATGCTCCGGCATTGCTTATCGAGTAAGACACTGGATACATGCTCTCACCACATGGTGGAATACTATGCAGCCAGGAAGAGAAGGGTGTTCTGGTGCACCGATGAACCCTACAGAACATGGTGGGGCGAGTGAAGAGACATAGGGCACCAAAGGATACACAGTGTACGAGTCTAGTTCTCTGAGAGACCCCTGACTGGCAAAAACCTGGAGACCCAAGCTTATGAGTGCCTACTGGGGCTGGAAGAAGCGGGGAAGGAACAGTTAGTTCTTCAGGGGCACTGGGTGTCCGTTAAGGATGATGAAGACATTTTGGAAACAGATCATGGAGAAGGTTGTTGGACAGTGGTTCTCAACCTTCCTCAAGCTCTGACCCTTTCATACAGTTCCTCATGTTGTGGTGACCCCCCAACCATAAACGTTGTTTTCGATGCTACTTCATGACTGTCATTTTGCTACTGTGATGAATCAGGCGACCCCTGTGAAAGGTTCTTTCGACCCCTAGAGGGGTCGAGACCCACAGGTTGAGAACTGCTGCAGCAGAGGAGTGAGCATAAGTCATGTTACGGAGCTGAGCACAGGACACATGTTGAATGGGCAAATGTCTTGCTATCCATATTTTTACTATAACAAAACCACGTTAAACTATTTTTTTAAAAGACTCATACGTAAAAGTGATCATGTAGGCTTCCACCTCCTCCAGGAAGCCTTCCCTGGCTGCACTGCCCCTGGTCAGATCTCTAGTGCTGGTGTGGCCCGTTTCCTGCCGTGGGGACTGAGTCAGAGGGGTGTGAGTGCCTGTGGTCCCCTAGTTGCCCACTCCCTTTTGGAGGGTGAGGGCTGTGTTTGGCAGGCTGGACACGGCTCCTAACCAGTGGCTCTTGGAGTTCGATCTCCGCCAAGGGCAGCATCAGCACCGCCCAGGAGCCTGCTGGAAGGGCAGGTTCTCTGGTCTCCCCTCAGACCGCCTAAACCCGGTGGGGGGAGCCCCCACACGGTGGGATTCGGGGGATTCCGATGCTCACTCAAGTGTAAGGGCTGCTGCCCTTGTCTGCTGGTGGGGAGACCAAGCACCGTGAGTGAGGGGGAAAGACTGACTCGCCACAGGATGAGCCGCCAAGACTGGGCCGGGGTACAGGCTCCAGTCGGAGGCCGGAGAGGGCCTGGGCACCCGCTTCCTGTCGCTGACCCTGGGGGGGTGGGGGTGGGAGGATTTGAGAGTCACCCGTGTGTGTCCTGCTGACTGCCCTCCCGGTCTGTGAGTGTGTCCCTCCTGACCCCTGCTGTGACCCCTTCCAGGTCGGCTGCAGCCCAGTGCTTGCACAGAAAGTAGCCTTGACTGGGCGTGTAGCCGGCTGCACTTGGGCGGCTCAGGGCTCCTCCTGGTCCTCCTGCTGGGGGCACCAGAGCCCCACTGAGCAGAGACCAGGTGAGGTGGGGACAGGAGTGGTCCTGGGTCCAGGAGTCTGAGGAAGGGCCCCCATGTGTCTTTCTCTCACCCCTTCCTTGCCCTTTTTCTGCAGGTGTCTGCTGAGGAGCCCTGAGCCCACCGCGTTCCCCCAAGGTAAGCACGCCCTGTCTGTGTTGGTGGACCAGGCCCGTGCCGGACAGGGCCCAGGGTCTCTCTCCTCAGCCCCTCCCTCTACCTCCTTCTGTCTCCTCCATCCTTTGGCTATCCAGGGCGGTGGTGGTGGGGGCCGGCGGAGGGCTGCTGTTGAGTTGCCACATAAAGACGTGGACAGACGGTTTGCTCCTTGCTCTGAGGGGCCGGGGCTATGTTGCTGAGGGACAGCCGCGGGAGTAGCTGCTGTGGCCCTGGGGGTGTGAGTCTCGGGCCCTTACTAAAGAGGACACAGAATTGAGGGTCATTCAGGTGAGGTGGTCAGGGCGCCGCTTGAGGCCAGGGGTGCTCTGGCCTTAGGGGTCTGCTTGTAAGCATTTTGGGGACATGATTCCAGTGCCTGTCGGGCACTCCTAAATGAGGGGTGGCCAAGGCAGACCCTGCCCTCTGCTCTGTGCCCCCCTCCCCACTTCCTGCATCCCCTCTGACTCCAGCTCCAGGGAGACCAAGCTGGCATGTGATCCCTGGGAGGGTCTCTGGTTTTAAATCGGCATTACAGAGCCCAAGTGTGTCTGCCGAGTCAGCCTCACCTCCGTGCACGGAAGGGAGTAGAAGGGTGTGAAGCCGGGAGGTGGCATTGCCCCCGGGCCTGTGCGGCAGCAGCAGGGGCTTCCAGGGTGGGGCTACCTGGCCCTCCACCTGGGCCTGGCCGCCCGCAGAAGGCAGGGGTTAGCTGAGACCATAGGCTCAAGGTCCAGGCCCAGTACTGTGTGTGAGAGCCCCAGCGCCTTATCTGTGAAAGGGGTCCCCCCACACCCCACCCCCTGTGCGCCCTCCTGCCTAAGAAGAGTCTGAGAGGCTCTGCTTCCTCGGAGCAGCTCCGGCAGAGGTGAGCGCAGCCTTTCTGCCGCTCTCCAGGAAGGTTTGGTGACAGGGTTGGAGATGCAGGGCTCAGGGGACCCAATCCAGGCCGACTGCCTGGAGGAGGTCTATTCATGGTTCTTAGTTTTTGCCCTAGTCGATCACCTCTTTAGAGTTACCCACCCAAAGAGCAGGGTTTTCATACTTTAATTAGCCAATTAATGAATCTTAACAACAGCCCACGAAGGAGCAGTTTGGGCTTTCTTAGAAGTGGGGAAGCTGGGGCTGAGAGGCAGGGCCCTGCCCCACTGAGGACAAGGGTGGGCGTGCCCTAGAGAAGGGGTCAAGGGCTTCATCTCACAGCCCTGCGCCCCAGGACCTCCTCATCTGACATGCCGTGTTGAGCCTCCTCAAGGGAGGGGCATGGTCGAGGCCAGGCCCTTGGCCACCATGCCCAAGGGAGCTAGCATCTGCTCTCTAGGTGCGGTGCAGGGGTGCTGTTAGTCAGGGGGGCACGGAGTTCATGAGGGCAGGGCTGGAGGCTGGAGACATGCCACAGGGCCCGTCCATCCCTTTCTGGACACGAGCCAGGCCCCTGTCCTCCATGCTGCACTGATGGCCTACTCTGAGAAGCTGTGCCCACAGTAACTGCTGCCCCCAGCCGCCCGCTCTGTCCCCACTGACTGACCCGCCACCCCATGGGAGCCGAGTGGGCCCAGCCTCATTGACCCATTAGTCCAGCAACAGATCTGTCCCAGGCCCCAGAGGGTATGGGAGGCACAGGGTGGTTCCTGTCCAGGAGGGGGATGGGCAGGCGCCTGGGGGCCCCAGACACAGGGTTCAGCGACAGAGAGCTGTACTGGGGTGGCTTCAATCGGAGCGGCCAATGGTGGCGGGCGGGGAGGGCTAGGGAACTGGCTACTGGATGTGGTATCAGATATGCATTTGATGATTTATAACATGCGGGATGCCCCGTGAAATCTCTGGAATAGAAGAAACGCATGTGGTTAGATGCATTGTGTGTGTGTGTGTCAGGAGCCAGGGAGGGAGGCATCATGTAAATCTGAGAGCCACCATGACGGCTGCAGAATCTGTCAGTGGGAGGGCGGGAGGAGTGGCAGGTCACACCAGGGCGTGGTGGGCTCTGTCCAACGGCCAGGCTGCAGCAGTGTCTGCCAGTCTCGGCTGGAGGTTCTGTCTTGGAGCAGACAGATACCTGTCTGCAGAGACCAGAAATGTGAGAGCCACCCTAGAAGGGACCCAGAGCTACCTGTCACTGCCCAGGAGGCTGGGAAAAGGGTCTGGCTTGGATAGGTGGGCTTGGGGGGCATTGTCCCCGCCAGAGCTCACGGGTCTGCCTTTGGGTGTGGCTGGATGCCAGGACTTCCTGTGGGGACTGCAGGTGGGCGTCAGGGAACTGTCCTACAGGACAGCCTATCCTTGGTACTTTATTCTCAACTTTAAAGCTCAGAGTGTCTCAGCTTTGTTGGTGTTCACCCCACAGTTAGCCCAGCACAGAGTCAGGGAGCACCCCCACGGTCCCTCCGAACCAGACCACTGGCCTCAGACATTTCTGAAGTGTTAGGGGATGGGCTTCCTGAAAGCGTGGAGTGGAGGGTTCAGGTTCTGGGCCCCCTGCCTGGGCTCATGCTGTCAGGAGCAGTGCGACCTGGGGCCGGTTTCCTCTCTCTTCTGTACAGCGGACGCTGCAGTGAGCTCCTAGAGATGCTGGGGAGATCAGATGAGGGGATGCACGAGAAGCCTTTGAGCACAGCCTGTGGGCACGGAGGCCCCGTCTACGGAGCTCTTGGCATTTCTAGGCTTGGCGGCTGGCTGGTCTCTTAGAGGCTGCTTAGACTTCTGGGCTGCCGCTTCCCCAGGGGTAGCTGGGTGTGAGGCTGGGGCAGAACTTGCCCCTGCTCCTGAGATGGTCCTTGCTGTACATGTTCTCAACCACGGGGGGCTAGTTGGGGGGGGGCATAAAGGGAGGAAGTTCTGAGCTGTGAGGAAAGAGGGGGGCAGCTTATTGAGGCCCAGGAGGCAGCTGGGGCGATGCTGGACTGACCAGCTGTGTGTGTCTATTGGGGCGCAGGGAAGAGAGAAGGACGTGCAGGCCACCTGGATTGCACCAGGCCAGGCCCCCCACAGAGGGGCTATAAAGGAGTGTGCTGAGACCACCCCCTCCCGGGTGAAACCCGGAGGCCCCTGCAGGGCTGAGAGGTGACCCAAGGCATGGAGGAGGCAGAGCTGGGATGGAACCTCCTGGACCCTGCCCTTGGAGCCCTGGTGGCACTGTGGTTACGAATTGGGCTGCTAACCGCAAGGTCAGCAGTTTGAAACCACCAGTCGCAAGACGGGGCTTTCTACTCTTGTAAAGAGAGAGCCACAGTATCGGAAACCCTCGGGGACAGTTGTACCCTGTCCTGTAGGGTGGCTGTGAGTCGGCATCGACTCCATGGCAGTGAGGGTTCGTTTTTGTTTCTATTTGTCTCGAGCAGGGGCAGGGTGTGCCTGGCATGGCTGTATGTGCATGTCTCCTGCTGGTGCCCTGCCCCACCCTCACCTGCCACCAGCAGGAAGTTCTCTGGGGAACGTCTTAGACCAGTGTATATGTGGGGAGGGGGGTTCCCGTACCTCCCCCATATTGGTACCGGGCGGGGTGTGTGTGGCTGTTTGCCTGCATATGTCCCCTCCTGTGACAACCCATCTCCACCTTCAGCTGCCTGCCAGGAAGCAGAGTGCCCACAAGGCTCTGGAAGGTGCACCTGGTTAATAAAAATAATTCATGGCTAAAACCCTATCTGCTGGACGTGGGTCAGAAACAATGGGTCTGTTGTCTCCCCTGTGCAACTTAGGAAACGGAGTCCAGAGTCACCGCGGTGGCGTGTGGGCAGAATTTGGACCAGGCAGTGGGGGCCTGGTGGGGTCCAGCTGAGTGGGTCCTCCTGGGAGACCTCCCCCAGGCCCCAGGCAGTCCCTTCGGGCCTTTCCACTTCAAGGGGAGCTGCCCGCAGGTTCTGACAGCTCTTAGGTCCCAGATGTGGAAACTGAAGCTCAGGGGGCCAGGCCACACTGACACCAGAGCCTGGAGTTGACACCCCTGCCCTGCGACTCCATGCCCCAGGCTGCTAGCAACCTCCTTGAGCCGCTGATGCCCCACTCCTCACTAGCCATCATCACCATTTCTGGAGTGAAATGATCAGCCCCCCCCCCCACCCACCCCCGGAGAGGAAAGGAGCGAGCCTGGGCCTCAAGTACAGAGGCAGAGAGGCAGAGCCGCGTGGGGGAGGGCAGGGCAGGAGCTCATCTCTCTCCGGTGGCAGGTGGGGGTCCTTGCCTGGTTAAATGCCCTGTCCACCACCTGAGGCAGTTTGGGAAGGGGCATCAGAAGGCTCTGGCACTTCCCAACTGTGTGATCTTAGGAGTGTCACTTTAGCTCTCCAGGCTCCATTTCTCATCTCGGAAGGGGGAATGGTGGTGGGGCCCATGTGGCTGGAGGGCTGCAGATTGAAGGGAGCCCCCACATACCACGAGAGCCTCGACACCCCATTGTCTTGTAGCTTTGTTTCTCACAAGCTTTCTGAAGCCCCCGTGTGTGAGGAGTGACAGCTACTAAGGGACACTCCATAGATGCTAGACAGTGTTGTCAATGTCACTTGCCGGGCTGTAGAAGGTTCTAGAAGGCAGCCGAGCTCCTGTGTGTAACTACATGCCAGAACCAAGAGGAATGGGGCTGACTGGAGCCGGCCTCAGGCTCCCCCTCCCCTTCCCCTAACTCCCCCTCCCCAGGCCTCAGATCTAAATTCTCCATTCCCTGGGGAGCTGGGGAGGGCGAGAGGGTGCTGCTACTTGAAGTGTTAACTATCTATCATGTTGTTTCCCACCAAGGATTTGTGAGGGC